TCACCCACCCTCATCATCACTGGTCCACACAATTGCAGTCACCTGTGCCTGGCCTCAAGGCTTCTGTCGCTTCCTCCTACCATTCCCATCCCATGTCAGTGATAGTTGAATGGGGGTGTGCATCTGAAAGGTGTCCCTATAGAGTCAGGTCTACTGTGTCGAGAATAGGGCTTGGGTATCTTATTTGGTAAAGAGCTTCTCCAGTGACTTCTGTGTGAAACCAGGTTTTGTTTTTGTTTTTGTTTGTTTTAAATCATAAGCTTCTGGAGTTCTTTTAAAATCCTACCTGAAAGTGCAGGTATCTGTGTGGCAGCTAAGCTGCAGCTTGATGCCCACATGCCAGATTTGAAGGTCAGTCCCAGCTCCACTGCTGATTCCAGCTCCCTGCTAATACAAGCCCTGGGTGGCAACAGGTGAGGCTTAAGTACTCTGGTTTTTGACACATATGTGAAAGACCCAAATTAAGTTCTTGGCTCCTAGCTTTGGCCTGACCTCATCCTGGCAGTTGTGAATATTTGGGTTATTATTATTAGCAGGTTAAATCTCTCTCTGCCTTTAAAATAAATAAAATTTTAAAATAGACATAGACACACAACCACAATCACATCTTTTTGAGGGGAGGGCAGGGCGTACAAAAACCTTGCTTTCTCCATTTCTGCATTGTCAACTAAGATTTCTTCATTTGTGACAGACGTGCTTTAGTATATCCTAGCCCTAATCTACCTATTCAAATGTATTTTCAGCTGCATGTTGTCCCTGAGTCTAACCAAATAAATTAGCCAAATGTGCCATGTATACTAAGTCTGTCAAGGATACCTTTAACTTTCTTTTAAATCTGGGAAACTCTGGTGCTCATGTCACTACCCTGGCTGCCCTTCCCCTTGTTCCTGTAGGCAGGAACAACCACGCGTAGTCCGTGACTCCTCGCTTTGTCTATTCTTGCACTGCCACACTCATTACGTGGCATGGCGATGACTTCTTGGTATATCCGCCTCCATCTCCCATAATTACGTCACTGAGAAAAAAATAGTCTGGCTTTTGTGACTGGGCACCAGTAAGAACAGCTCTTACCCTTTGATTTTAAGAAGTAAATTCTCTCCAAGTCTTTTTAAAAAGATGAATTTATTCATTTAAGGTCAGAGTTACACAAAAAGAGGGAAACAGAGAGGAATGAGCACCTCGCCTAGCTGGTCATCCCCAGATGACCACAACAGCCAGGACGGTACCAGGCCGAAGTCACCAGCCAGGAGCTTGTCCCAGGTCGCCCACATGGCGGCAGGGGCCCACTACTCAGGCCATTAGCTGAATCACAAGTGACACAGTAGGGACATGAACCAGTGCCCATATGGGATACCAGTATCATAGGTGGAAGCTTTACCCACTATACCACAAAGAAGGCCCCCCACCCCAGGGCTTTTGTAAAGAAAGATTTATTTGCGTATTTGTTCAAAGACAGGCTAGGAGATACAGAAATATCTCTCATCCATTGATTCATCCTCCTAAATGGCTCCCAAAGCCAGAGCTGAGCCAAGCTGAACTCAGGAGCCAAGAACTCCATCCAGGAGCTCAGATACCTGAGCCGTCGTCTGCTGCTTCCCAGCGCGTTACCAGGGAGCTGAATTCAGATTAGAGCAGCCGGTTCCTGAACCATTGCTCCACTATGGAATGTCAGTGTTGCAAGTGTCAGCTTAACTCACAGTGCCACAATACTGACCCATCTCTGACTTACCTAATGACCTGCTACCTACATCATCCATCTGCTTCAACATCCTCAAAAGAAAACAAAAAAAGGGCGGGTGGGGCAACTAAGGTAGCAAGAAAGAAGGAACCTCCCAGGCTTCTCATCCAGAAGATGGTTGGTGACTTGGTTGGTGGCTGTTCTGGTGCCACTGAACTCAGGATCCAGTGAGACCTCACTGACGCTGGAACCAGAGGCAGATATTGAACATCTGGGACTGTTCAGCTCACTCAGCTGGTTTCAAATGTCACAAATCAGCAAAACAAAGCTGATAAGCATGCCAATTCTGTGGTTTCCTAAGTCTCAGTAACCTGTGTCCTTACTGTCAGCTTCACACCTGGAACGGCCCCTCGGCTGTATTGCACAGAAAGCACGAAGCCTTTCAGGGGCCAGAAGACACTTATGGTGTGGCATGTCCAGGAGCACACCAGCACAGCTGGCCTCCACAGCAGGCGATGGCTCTAGAGGCAATCCCAGGGTGAAGGCACTTGCCCCTTCATCTCCGTCTGCAGACCCACAGCTCTCAAGCAGAGCACACTAGGAGTTCAGAAGACATTTGCAATTCGGGAGCAAGTATGATGAGTTGATAGTTTAGACTATAATCATTGCTGTCTGGTTTTCAACATCAGAGAAAGGCAACTCTATGCTAAATAGCTGAACATAATGATATCTAATATAGATGATTATACAGACTTGTGACGTCAGACCGAACCAAATACTGTAAATCATGAAATTTTATCACATGAATCCATGCTTAAAGAATTTAAAAAGCTGTCCCATTGTCATTTTTCCTCTGTGTGTGTCAGAAGGGAAATTGAATTCCATAGCATCTTTAATAATGAATATGCTAAGTAACTGCATTTGTTTTGAACTTTGAAATTGTCCTTATCTTATTTTGGGTATGAGTTGCTAATAAAAGAAAAAAAATAAAAGTTCATTAAGGCAGTAGAGGCCATTCTATTTTCAGGACCAGAATGGTCCTAGTGCCATAGAGTGACAACTTGTGACACAACATGGGACACTGGGTTTGGACATCTGATCGCTCTTTCGCCTTGTTCCAATTGGACAACTAATTAAAATTTTTTTGAAAGAGGCAAGAACTCAATTTTAGCACTAAAAGTAAACTCATCTCTGTTTATCTCCATCATTGCTCAACTCAAAACAGTTGATTCAGTGATTATAACTCAGCCAAGCCTCACACAAGAGTAGGTTGAAAGTTGGGGGCTGCAGGGGAGTGGGGAGATGTGGGTTGAGGATTTATAAGACAGATTGTCAAATAGACAACTTAGGACTGGATTCTAGCCTAGAAAGGCATATTTTAACTCTGGCTGCCTGAAACAGGGACTTTCCACACAAAGTGAGGAATACAGGCAATAAGTATTACAGCTTGAAAATTAGGAGACGTAAATCTGTTTCTTGCAAATTGCTTTCCATCTTGGATGTTCTTCAGTAAATAATAAATACTTTTAAAACAAACTTATTCCCCCACCTAGAAATAAAATTAAAGCAGACACATGGAGCTGGCAGTGTGGTACGGCAGTCAGAAGCCAGCATCCCATGGGAGCTTTGATTCAAGTTTCAGCCACTCCACTTCCTGTTCATTCCCAACTAATGCCCCTGAGAACACAGCAGAAAATGGCCCAAGTGCTTGGGTCCTTGCTGTCCATGTAGGAGACCAGGATGAAGCTCCTGGTTCCTTGTTTTGACTTGGTCCAGTCCAAACCATCGTGACCATTTGAGGGATGAACTAGCAGATGTTAGATTCTTTTTCTCTCTCTCACTCTACCTTTCAAATAAGTTAATATTTTAAAAGGAGGGAGTTTGGGGGAAGAACTGTGTAAAGCCTTTAAATTCCTTGCCTCTCTGAGAGCTGTTTCCTCGCCAGCCTCCTGTGTGCGCTCTCTGCAGCCTGTAGGGCCGTGAAGCCTGCACATATTAAACACCAACTGCCAAAGGGTGACCTCCACAAAAGTATTTCTCATCACCAACTCTGAAGGGCATGGGGGCACCTGCTGACTTCACTTTTCTGTTGTGGAAGGACATACCTCTCTGCTGCTTTCAAACGCAGGGAACAGTTTCCCAAGAGGCGTCCAGAGCCCTGATCCTGGCCCTGACAGGGAGCCAGGGGAGAGCTGAAGGCCAGCCCAGGCAAGGCCTCCTGGAGGGAGAGCTGACCTTGAGAGCCAATCGCTGCTGATGACACCAGTCTAAACGTGTATGTGCATAATGTGGCAGTGTGTTAAAATTATTAAACTGTAAAAACTATATACAATTTATTGGCAAAAAAGAAAGAAAGAAATCCAGTAGCCAAAGAGAAGTAACCAGAAGTTGTTTTCCTTTCCTGGATTGGGTTATGAAAGACAGCGTGCTAAATAGGATTGGAGCCCAAAATTTGGGTTCATTGTAGAGGTTCTAGGATAGGCTTAGCAAAAGTGAGCCCCAGAGCTCGGCGTAGTGGCCTCGTGGCTAAAGTCCTTGGCTTGAATGTACCAGGAACCCATATGGGCACCAGTTCTAATCCCAGCAGCTTCACTTCCCATCCAGCTCCCTGCTTGTGGCCTGGCAAAGCAGTTGAGGACAGCCCAAAGCCTTGGGACCCTGTACCCGCATGGGAGACCTGGAGGAAGTTCCTGGATCCTGGCTTCATATTGGTGCAGCACCAACCATTGGGCTCACTTGGGGAGTGAATCATCAGACGGAAGAGCTTCCTCTCTCTTCCCCGTCTATCTGACTTTGCAATAAAAATAATTTAAAAAAAAGCGAACCCATGTTTCACACCCATAATAAATATTGGCCTGTATGTTTGGGTGAGAAGTTCACAGCCTGTGAACCTCATCTCTCACTAGCGCTCCAGTCCCAGTGTCGGCTCCTGCCGCATGGAGCTCCTAGCGTAGCACTCCAGCTTGCCTGATGTGATGGCAAGTCTCCAAGACAGCAGGATCAGCCACAGCCTGGTACCAGTGCCTGACCTCTATGCCGGACAACAAAGGCTGAACGCCCGGTGTCCCTTACTCAAGAGGCATCAGAGTGCACTATATGTCAGAATTCAGATCCCTGTGGCAAAAGCGACCAGGGTCCCTCCTTCTGGTTCTGGCTCTGTGGTCGGTTGCCAACCAAATTTCTCCTGTGGCTGGGAGAGAATGTCTGATGTGGTCCCCTTGGGCTTGTCAGGAGTGACTGCTGGTCCCAGCCTTCCCTTTGTCATGTGAGGAGTAATTAATACCATCACTAAAAATTAATAATACTCACTATTTTCTTTCAGCCCTCCCCGCCCTCTGACTAATATGAATGACACCATGGTCAACCATGCGTCCTCTGGAGTGCCCACGCCCACCAAGAGGTATGTAGCCTTCTGCCCCAGAGTTGGGGACAGGTCTGGGCAGTGCCCACCACAGTGCCCCACCCCCATATGTGAGTCCATCCTACCTTCTCCCATGTGCCCCCAAGGTCAGGCCTGAGTGGCGCCTCAGGCCAAGTGGCCCTTGTGACAAGCCAAAAGCTTGCAGGACAAATGCGGTCAGCTGGTGAAGACGCTTTTGTGAACGCCAAACAGTGTTCTCTGTAACCAGGAGTTTCAGCAATTACACTTTTGAATCCTTTGAGTGTCAAAGATCGATTCTGCTTTCTGTCACAAAGGGAATTAACCCCCAATAAAATACCTAAAATATGCTCTTAGGTCCTGCTGCTGAGGATTTATAAACTTGGGGGATGAAGAATCCCCAGGGGTCCCCCTTGTGTCTTGGTTACACAAAGGATTTGCCTCAGGGTCCCTCAAGGGATGAGGTCCTCTCTCCTCTGTGTACCATGTGCCCTTCTCATGGATTCCCCCTTAGAAGCCCTGTGTTGGACGGTGTCATTTCTGTGTGTTTGAAGCCAGTGACCATAGCAGTGCCGGAGCTCTATAAGAGTCATTATTCAAAATAAGCAGCACTTTGTGCCCAGTGTCCCGATTGCCTGAGGTTAGCGTGGCTGCAGAACTGTCATCTGCATTGTGGTTTTATGACTTTATCTCTCATTAACACTCAAGTCCCAGTGTCAGCTCCTGCCACAGCACTCCAGCTTGCCCGATGTGATGAGATACATCACCTGGTCACTTGTCAGGAGTCCCATCAGGACCACATCACACCCAGTGAATGGGAATCTCTGAGGATGGGATCCTGCACACAGCACGTTTTAAACAAGTACCCCGGGTGATTCTCCTCATCAGGCAGGCTTGGTGGCTAGCCTTGGAAGGAAGCAAAGGAGGAAGGGAGGACTCAGGCACTTGGTCAGAGCTACCCAACATGACAGCCTTGTCAGCCTGTTGGCCAGGACCTGGACCAGATAGGAACACCTGCCGAGGTAGATGACCATGCCGCTTCCTCCAACCAGAGGTGCAAACTTTGGTGACCTTGCACTTGGATCCTGGCTCTCACCTGACCTTGAATACATTCATCATCATCCTTGGGCCCCCTCACCCTCATGGGAGACCCAGAAGAAGCTCCTGGATCCAGGTTTCAGATCAGCTCAGCTGTGGCCATTTGGGTACTGAACCAGTGGATCAAAAATCTGTCTGTCCTTTTCTCCATAACCCTGTCATATCTTAAATTAAAATAATAATAATAACTTTTAAAAAGGCAAACGCTCACAAGGCAAAGACAGAGCAGAAAGGGTTGCGGAGTGAGCAAGGCTCCCAGAGCACCTCACCCAGCTGCAGTCTCCGCCAGACATCTGCCTCCAGCACTGCTATCGGGGGGGCTTGTTGTTGTTGCTGTTGTTGGTTTGGGTTTTTTTGTCCATTTGGTTGGTTTTTAATAAAAACCCATAAGGACAGCCAAAATGGAAGTAGAAAGTATAGTAACTAAGTTTTGGGAGTGGCCAAGCAGATGGGATGAGTTGTAACTGATTGAACAGGCTGGAGAAAACACAAACCCCTCACTGACTGAGAGAGAAGCCTGGTAGAAAGCCCACCCCCAGAATTAGGAGCTCTGGAAACGGGGGGTTCAAAGGGAATGGCTGATGGTCCCTAGAGAAGGCGGCAGGGCCAAGGAGACAACCGAAGGCTACTTCTGGTGTAGTCCCTGAGACAGGGGTGTGTGTGTTATATCATACTTCTCATCACCAGAATTTGTTCCAGGAGCTTTCTTTATCCCCCAGCACCTCACTCTCCAGGGATAACTAGTACTGCCTGTTCTGATAGCTCCAGCCTTATTGGCACAGCTCAAATGGGTGACAGGTCAGTGTCAAAGCCACCAACCCTGGGTAAAGCTCAACTGCTAGGAATCTCTTTTTGAAGAAAGAATTTACTTTTTGCAAGGCAGAATTGCAGAGACAGGGAGGGAGGGGTTTTCCATCCATTGGTTCATTCCCCAAATGGCCACAGAGCCCAGTACTGGTTCAGGCAGAAGCCAGAAGCCCAGAGCTCTGCCTGGATCTCCCACATTGCTGGCAGGACACCCAAGCACCAGGGTCTTCTTCTCCTGCCTCCTCAGGTAAATGAGCAGTGAGCTGGATGAGAATCTGAGCAGCCAGGACTCAAAGCAGTGCTCCAATAGGAGATGCCAGCTTCACATGTAGCACTTTAACGTGCTGTGCCATGACTCCAGCCCCAAACTACCGGGAGTCCTCAAGGCAAGGTTTTGTCCGTCAGAGCCTTTTACTTGAACATGCACTTCACAAGAAGGACAAGACGATGCCACCATGTAAATGTTCTTCCTGAGCTGTAGAAGTACGACCACGTGAAAAGATGAATTGTACCACAGCATTAAAATGGCTTTGGGGCCAAGTGCAAAGGAAATCTCTCTTGCCATCTGTAGATTAGATCAGGGTGACAAGGGCCATTTTCTGCTGATTCTTGGTGGAGAGAAGTCACTCCAGAAATAATGGGAAAACTGAGAAAGAAAGCAAAAGCAAAAGGAAATTGGTTGGGCCAGAAACCACACAGTTACTGAATTGCCTCCTCCTTGTGAAATGAGGAAATTAATGCTCAGTGAAAAGCAAGAACCAGGGCCAGTGTTAAGACTTGGCGAGTAGAGCCACCACCTGCAATGCTGGTATCCACTTAGGCACCAGTTTGTGTCCCAGCTGCTCTGCTTCCTATCGAACTTCCTACTCACACACCCAGGAAAGCAGCTGAAGATGGTCCGTGTGCTTGTGCACCCACATGGAATACCTGGAAGAAGCTCCTGGCATCAAAATGGCCCATCTGCTGCCATTGTGACCATCTGAAGAGTGAACCAGTGGATGCAAGATATCTCTCTCTGTAAATCTGATTTCAAATAAATAAATACATGTTTAAAAGAAAGGCAAGAACAAGTGGGTGTTTGCAGAAACAAGTAGCACCTATAAATTCTTCATAACACAGGACCTGGTTTTTCCCCTGGTGTTTTTGTGCAAAGTCATTGAGAATTAACGCCTAGTGGTCAGCAACAGCGGGGTGCTCACTGTGGGCAGGTGTCCAGGGCCCAGCCAGTGGCTGGGCACAAAGCCACTTCCTGTTGGGATTAGATTTCACTTACAGTCAAGCATTTAAGGTTAACCTTTCCCCCAGTTTGAACTGAGAGTAATACGAACAAGAAGCCTGACTACTTCCCGGTCTGTAGTTAGAAATGGAGTGTGTGGGGCCCGGCGCGGTGGCGCAGTGGTTAAGGTCCTTGCCTTGCATGCCCGGGATCCCATATGGGCGCTGGTTCTAATCCTGGCGGCCCCACTTCCCATCCAGTTCCCTGCCTGTGGTCCCAAGGCTTTGGGCCGTCCTTGACTGCTTTCCCAGGCCACAAGCAGGGAGCTGGATGGGAAATGGAGCTGCCGGGATTAGAACCAGCACTCAGACGGGGTCCTGGTGTGTTCAAGGCGAGGACTTTAGCTGCTATGCTATCACGCCAGGCCCTAGCATCCTTTCTTTTCACATGTGCTGTAGAGACTTTTGCCTGCAGTATCTCTTGACCTTGTATCCTTTTAGGATATTAACTCCCTGAAACAGGGAAGGGTTCTCGTGCAACCCAGGACTTAGACCCAGTGCTTAAACTAAGAGTGTTTTTCACTCTTTTTCGTATCAGACCTTAAAAATACCCATGCTTTATTTTAGCTAGCAAAGCAAATATTTAAAGAAAAGCTGACCTATGGTACAACTCTGACCCTCCTCAGACTCCCCAGGCCTACTGTCTGCCTCACCCCAAATCCAGTCTTCTCCTCGTAGCCAGTGGGAAGTCTCTGAGAGACGAGGCGGAAGATGTGCATGTCCTGATAAGGACTTTCCAATTAGGCTGGTTTTTCTGTGGCACTTTCTAAGGGCATGAAAATGTGGCATGCTCCCTGGTGCGTTAGCCCCAGCCACCTGGGCCTCTTGGATCTGCACTACGGCTGTTTCTTTGAGTTGATTGGTGTTTAGAAGCCCAGAGCAGCGGTTGGCAGCAGTGTCCTACAAGAATCGCTGCTGGTTCTTCAGTGTGGCTTTCCAGGCCCTGCTGGCCGGACCCTCGCCAGCCTCCCCAGCCCTCTCTCACCCACTCTCTGCACCTGGCAACTACTCCAAGAAGTACCCGAGTCTCTTGCACTTCCCCCAAGCAGCTTCCTCCTGCCTTAGGGACTTCCCACCCCTCCTCCTTGTCAGCTACTTCTCCCTCATCAACTTAGCTTTGACTCTCCTCCTTCAGGAAGCCTCCCTGACTCCCAAAACCACAGCAGGTGTTATGTGACCCACAGCATCTTATATGCATCACTGCCTGTTACAGGGACCTTCTAAACTGTACACTCCTGCACACTGGGGATCCCCCTCGCCTCACTCAGAGACACATTCCTCCTCCAGGTTTTCTTCCTGCTGCTTACCTATTAATCAGTACTTCTCAACTGGGGGAGGGACTTTCTTTTCCAGTTATTTCAAGCAAATAACATCACATTGTCTGTTTATTCCACCCAGAGCAGAGAAATAAATGAGAAAGCTTTGATACTATTATATATCTATATATTGCATTAATATTATATTTTATATTCATATATGAAAAATATTGCTTTACATTACATTCCTCATGACTGTCTTAATAGGAAATGTCATTGATGGGTAGAGTTTGTTGTAAATTAAGCCTGTTGATCAATGGAAGGTCCTTAATCCCTCTGAGCTTGTGTATGCAAGAGGAAGCAAATGATTGAGGGGCTGGGGAGCAAGGACAGAAAGAACAGCACGTCTTTTCATTAGGATTCTTCTCTAGGATTTTTATTGGGAAGAAGTTTCTTTGGCATTCCATCAGAATGGGACTCCTCCTGGTAGGGAGGAGCAACAGCAGAGTGTGCTGAACAGCTCTCAGAGCTCTACACCCCAATAACATGGCCATCCTGGAGGGTCTGCAGGGCCCTTGCTGGGTG